TCCTCATCTGGTGAGAACGACAAACGAATCTCTTCATCATGTACTTTCATTCGAAAGGAAGTTCCCCCTAACAATGTTATCTCAGGAGATTCATCGAAACCAAGTTTCTCTTCGTATCTATAATCTAATGCAGACGAAGCAAAGACTATTTGTATTCTTATTCTTCAATTCAGATCTCCCCAAGGAATATCTTTTAACTCGTTTTGTAGGATACAACTGGCTAAGATGCCTTGAGCGATTTTATGAACAAGAAAATTTCCCTGATCATTGTAGTCAACAGTTAAAATATCTGACCCAAGTTTTCCTTGATTAAAATCAAACTTTGGTCAATTTTGCCTTTTAATTAAACAAAAGAACCTTCATCAAAATTTTGCCATGCTTGACTAATATCCTTTTTGATAGCCTCTCGAAGTATTTTCATATTAGGGTAGGAAATCTGAGGCAACTTGAGTAATAATGTCGGTTCGACCTTGTGGAAGGTACTTACTCCCTTGGATCATTGGCTGGGTACGATGCTAGAAATCACGAATGCTATGGCGTAGCACGCAGGACCTCAAGGTCTCTCAGACGCTCCGACCAAGTTGCGAAAACAAGGTCAAACCAACATTATAAAACTGAAGGAGACTGACCACACAGAAGGCCACACCATTTTAGTCTTCATATGTACGAACTTGAAGAATAATTTGGCTATTGTTCTAAAAAAGCTGTATTTCCGATTCATTTCCTACTCACAGACTGTCAGTCTTCCACGCAAGATAGACAACCAATTACTCCATCGCTTGACTCAAGCATACCTCTCGAACCCGGTTCTTCAGATTCCAGCTTATCAGGCTCTGGTTCAGGTGCTGGTCTGGTGCCCGGCAAGTGGGTTCACATTAAGAAACCGCTGAATGCCTTCATGCTGTTCATGAAAGAGATGCGTGCACGAGTAGTTGCCGAGTGTACACTCAAGGAATCTGCTGCGATCAATCAAATTCTCGGTCGACGTTGGCACGCCTTATCTCGAGATGAGCAGACACGTTTCTATGACATGGCACGTCTCGAGAAAGAGGCCCATCAACGCCTCTACCCCAACTGGTCGGCTCGCGACAACTATGCCTCTCATTCGAAGAAGAAAAAGCGACAACAACAACAACAACATCAGCAACGACATCACCACCAGCATATCAGCATGTTGTTACACTCGCCTGCAGAGTGTAGTTCCTCGGAGGCCTACAGACTCGGTTCGAATAAACAATCTATCAGGGAATGCCTAGAAGCCGGGGATTCCATGTGTCCTGGCGAAGAAAAGGTAATCGCGAAGGCAGACATAGAAAAGGCTACAGGATCGACTTGGGAGTATGTGGAGGCGAGGGGATCTCTAAGGCCAGCCAAGATAGGAGGAAAAGACCATGAATTTGGTTGTCTGCCCGGCGAGCCTCCTGGCAACGGGGGTGGAAACAGAGAAGGCAGAAATTGCCGTGCCGGTCAGCCAACGGGAGGATCAGATCTGTCGACTTCGCGTCCCTTCAGAGGGCATAAAACACTGAGAATGGCAGATACCAGCTTCTCGAGGCGACCACAGGCCTTCCCATCCGGCCCGACTGCCAGACATCCAGACAGCCTGGCCCTCCTTGTCAATTCCGCCCTGTCCCCGACTATGAATACTGAGAGACTGGCATGTTCTTCTCCATCACGTCGAGGGGCAGATGTATCTGACTATGGCTTTGTAGGACGACGCTCGCCACTGGGAGGTGAGACGGCAGGTCAGCAAGGTTGTTGTAATCATGTGGGGTGCTCCAGAAATGTGTGTGGCGAATATCCGCCTCTGGCCACGTCTACACCCTTTTTGGAGGGTTCTGCAACTTCGTCTGCATTTTCCGCCTTCTCTTCCTGCTCATGTTCATTTAAGGCGCCGGATGCTGGTCCTACGAACGGTTTCACAAGCCTTGATAGCGAGGCAGGAGTTGATTTTGCATGCGTTAAAAGAGGGGGAGATGAAGACGCTTTATGTGATGGAGAGGGTGACTTTCACATTTCTACAGACCAGACCGCTGATGGCTGCAGAACGTCATCGGACAAAAAAATGCGGTTCCACTCAGCCCTAAACGAATTGGCTGCAGCTGCAGCTGCAGCGTCCAGTCATGCCATGCTGTCCGCAGCGGCGGCTGCGGCAGTCGGAAGTGGATATGTGAGAGAACGTGAAAGAGGGACCAACTATCAGGAGCACAACTGTCCAGGTAGGCATTTCCACGTTTGTATGAAAGGAGTAGACTCGTCAGAAGTCTGTTCATCCGAGTTTTTTGTTTATAAGTAGGCTTTCGAGACTGCCAGTAGATCATATATAAAAATATTAATTAATTAATTAATTTAAAAAAATATATATTTATGGGATGTATTGATCTTAATTCGTTTAGGATGATAAAAGGACTGACAGTTGAATTTTCCCACAATGATATGAATAGACCTTACGTTTCCATTGAACATCACATAGCCTTGCTTTCCGAGAATTGAACTGCAGCTACGACCTCGCGTACGTCTCATCAACACCCCCAGCAGGATTCGCACCGTGACCAGTTAAACACTATGCTACATTGCTACGGTTTCAACATTGGGCCACAGGCCAGGAATTTTCCTATATCACCCCTTCTTCGGTGTAATTGTCAATGAAGCAAAGTTATGTTTGCTATTTTAAGAAAAACTAGATTTGGAAATAAAGTTGTTGGGAAGGAATTTGTGATGTGGTCTCACCGGAAACCGAACGAGGATTGGCGCGTAGGGAAGATGATTGGATTATGCGAAGAAGTCCTCGTTTCACCGTCTTGCGACCCCAATGAAGGTATGCTAGGCTTTCCTCCGTATTATGACAGACATCATCAAAGCAAGAATACATACCTTACGAAATAGAGCAAAACTATACTAAACTAAGAGAAAAGATGGCTGGCCGCAACCCTAGTATCTTTTTTATACACATAACATCGCAATCTTAATAAGGCATCCCATGGTTTGGTTGGCTACTTCAGCCTTACCTTGTATGCTTGCAAATGAATGAAGTTAACTTTCCGAACCTGAAGTGCGTTCTGTGGCAGTTGTTTCATTACACAAAAAACTAGCGTATGATCGTCTAATGGTGAAGCACGTTTGTGCTTGTGCCATTGTCTCTTGTGTGTATGTAATGCTTATGTCATGGGAAGTGTGATAGTCCTAACTAGACTTGGGTCTAATCCAGACTCTTGTTCAATGGCCCATCCTGCACTACTTCTCTCTCCATCTCCAACAGCCAAAAATAGTTCCTACTCAGTTTTCTACATTCGTTCCTCTTATTCAGGACGTTGGATGTTTTGTAACATTCTATAGACTCCCTAATCTTACGCGTTGACGTGAAGTCCTTTTAACCAGCAAATCATTATGTTTTGGACCAGTCTATTGACTGTCCTGTATTGGCCATATGTTTAGCGAGCTCATATTTTTGGGATTGGTGATTATCCCAGGACGGAAGGAGAGATACCACGAATGTTTAGCAAGCAATTGGACAAAGGATCAGCTTCACTTGTCTTTTTGACG